TGCTTTTTGCATCAGAAGATGTTGGACATAAAGAAAAAACTATAATTATCAGTATAATTTTATGCTCATGTTACTATTATAAGTTATAGTAATCATGTAATTTTGATAATACATTCTACTCTGGACCTTTCAGAATTATTGGAGCACAAGGTCCAAGCAGTTTCTCCAAAACTCATGCTGCTAATATATCAATGCTGAGTAACAAGAACCTATTACTAATTATTATTTGTATCACTAGCATTGACATCCTAAATGATACAAAGATGGGGTCTGTTCGCTTATTGCAAGATCAATAGTCATTAAAGAATACTCTGGAAATACTTAAAGATCCTAAAGTACAACCAAGGCTGAAAACCTTTGGGTGCCCCCCATCAGCCTGCCCCTCATCTGCTCCCTGAATGTTGTGGACACACCCTTACTATCTGAACAGAAGGCCATGGATGACACCTGAGGGCTCACAAAAAAAGACACTGGTGCTATGACAGATGACCGCGGTTAATCCTGTATTTACATAACACTTTTTAAGAAGTTTGAACAGTCCTCACATATAGTTTATTTTGATTCTTGTGCTCATCCTCACCTACATTTTTATATGATAGGGAACTGTGTACACCGTGACACAGACAACTGACTAGTTAGAGGCAGATTTTTTTTTAAATCAAAAAACAAACAAAAAAACTGGGCCTTTTTGCTTAGTTATTTTTAATCCAGGGAATAAGTTTTATTAATGTCATTATAGAAAAGCTATTCATAACACAATCTGACATTCCTCAACTTGAGGCAGTCCCTGTGGCTCCAGGTACACTTGACCTCTGGAAATACCAAGCAGTCCCTCATGAAGCTGGGGAACCAAAAAGTTTAGGCAATGGGAGGATTGAGGCACAGATTTCATAACTGACTTGCCTCTCTTCCCTCTGCACATATAGAGTTAAGTGGGCACAGTATGCCCAAACTGAGCCCAACGTGAGCTCACATGGGATGGGAACATGTCCGGCCGTGTCTGGCCCGCTGGTGTGGGAGTGAGTAAGGGGAATTACAATAGTGCTAAAGAACCTTTGGGGGGGGCTAATCAATCATCCTAAAGGAGAGTCCACAGGAGGGGCCAAGCATCAGAGGGGAGCAGGATTTTGAAAGTCGTGGCATTTATTGGGTCATTCTCCCAAGGATGAAGGAGCTGGGTAAAACCTAGGAGGAATTTCATATAAAACTCTGTGAGATATGAGAGCAGAAGAGAACACAGCTATGTGGCTTATAAAATCCAGTGCAGGGGCACCTGGGTGGCTCAGTCAGTTAAGTCTCTCTCTCTCTCTCTCTCTCTATTTTTTTTAATGTTTATTATGTTTGAGAGAGACAGAGAGCAAGCAGGAGAGGGGCAGAGAGAGAGGAAAGACAGAATCTGAAGCAAGCTCCAGGCTCTGAGCTGTCAGCACAGAGTCGGACGTGGGGCTCAAACTCACAAGCTGTGAGCCAAGGTTGGACATTTAACCAAGGTGCCCCTAAGCATCTGGCTCTTGAAGCATTTTTTAAATGTTTATTTATTGTTTATTATTATTATTATTGTATTATTATTATTATTATTATTATTATTATTTTGAGATGGGGGTGCAGAGAGAGGATCCTAAGGAGGCTTCGAGTTGTGAGCACAGAGCCGACATGGGGCTTGAATTCAGGAATAGCAAGATCATGTGATCTGAACCAAAATCAAAAGTTGGATGTTTAACCAACTAAGCCACCCAGGTGCCCTGCTTAAGCATCTGACTCTTGATCTCAGCTCAGGTCTTGATCTCAAGTTGGTGAGTTCAAGCCTCTCACTGGGCTCTGTGCTGGCTGTGGAGCCTACTTACAATTTAAAAAAATAAGTAAATAAAACCCAGTGCATTCCCATGGAGGATATGATTGAACCTTGCCATAGCACAGAACACAACAGCTTGGACAGGACCTCAGACTGGCACAGAGAAGAGTCAGGAGATGGTATCAGACCACCCAGCCTGGACACCAAAGTCAGCTACTACAAAGAAAGGGGCTAATAGATTTAGCTACTTAAAATTTAGAAAATTTCTTTTTTTTTACTTTTTTTAAAATGTATATTCTTGAGAGAGAGAGAGATAGAGCATGAGCAGGGGTGGGGCAGAGAGGGAGACACAGGATCCAGAGCAGGCTCCAGGCTCTGAGCTGTCAGCACAGTTTGGGGCTCAAACTCACGAACTGTGAGATCAAGACCTGAGCCAAGGTCAGACGCTTAGCTGACTGAGCCACTCAGGCACCCCCAAAATTTAGAAAATTTCTTAAAAAACAAAGAAACAAAATCAAAAGATAAGTGAATAACTGAGAACAATGTCTATATCATATCCAATCAAGCAAAGATTAATATCATTTTAAAAGGCTATTCTAATTCTATAAGAAGATACTTAACCACCATCACCAACTTCTCCAATAAAGAAAAGAAGAACATGAACAGGCCATTCACCAAAGGAGAAATATAAATAGCAAGTAGGTATATTTTTTAAAGGTACAACCACACTAGAAATCAAAAATAGGTTGCTCCCTAGACTAAAAACCTTCAGGTTTAAAATGTATTTTATTGTAGTCTTACCAATAATCTCTACATTTGGGTATGTTTTTGGGTTTTGGAATCAGCCTGGATTAAAATCCCAGTTCTGCAGTTCTGCTACACACTAACTGTGGGATGCTGGGTGAGTTATTTGGCCTGTATAAGCCTCAATACTCTTATTTGCAAAATAGAGATAACGTTAATCCACATCACAGTAATGTTGGAAGAAGTGAATGAAATCATGCACATACAGTACCTAGCACATAGTAAGAATTTACTAAATGTTTGATATGTTATAAATATCTATTCTGATATTTGGTAATAATGAGACTATCTGGCAAATCGGAAGCCTGGATCATCTTATTTCTTAAAGCTTTGTGACTTACTCTAAGATTTCAAGGCTATGTACACACACACACACACACACACACACACACACACACAAAAGAGATAATGGAAAATTGTTATTAAAGACTGAAATACCAGTGTCAAAATCATAGGAGTTAACAATTATTTAGGTCTTGATATTTAAAAATCCACTTCAAAGGGTAACATAATTCTTGGCTCTTAGTAGAAACACTTTATGTTTAATGATTTTAAATCATACTAAAATCAGGGGTAAAAGACATAAATTTACATAACTTAAATTCAGAAATTTTTTTAAGCAAAGGATACTTTTCAATCATGAATCAAATTATTTTATCATTTTATAACTTATATTTTATATTTGATAATGTTGAAAAGGTTAATTAGTAACTTCTTTCCTTTTGGCAGCTAGCAAAATGCAAATGATAATAAATTAGATTTCTAAAAATATGTGTATGATATATGTATATAGAGTTCTGTACTAGTGGTTCAAATAAAAAAATTATTTGCTCAAGTAATTGTGCCAATAGACTTAAGATACTGATAATGAATTCCAGGAAAACATTTTACAAATATACTTCTTAACATAAAATCTCTCAGTTTGACATGTAATTATAGCAACAAAAGTCACCTTAAACTCCCTAACTGGAGAGAAGAAGCCTCTTGAATTTAGACTGGTAGTTACTCTCTCACAGGATGGAGCCACAATGGAGGGCATATATAAAAGGAAATCAATGGAGGAGGGATTTGAGAGAGAGAGAGAGAGAGAGAGAGAGAGAGAAAGCACTACATTCATGTATGTTTAAACTAACCCCTTAATCAAACAATATGCTCCGGTTTTATATCACAGGGAAATAGAGGGAAAGAACCAAAAGGTGAAGGGAAAGAATTGGGGGGGATAAGTGAAGGGAGAGAAAAACTGATCAAGGCAGATGAATATAGAAATACAAAAGAGAAAAAGAAAAAGTTAAAGGCAGAAGGACATGTACAAACAAGGCATGACTCAAAAAAAAAAAAAGAACAGAGATTAGCTCAAGGACATATGCATAGCACAAAAACAACCACAGGAAACAAACATCCAAAAGAAAAGAAAAAAGAGAAAGAGAGACATAACAGAAACACATTTTAAAGAAGTAATATACTTGTCTGTAAACCTTTCTTGAATGAAGCTGTTAAAGATGATCAGAAGCGTTGCGTTTTTGCAACCAGAGTCAAATGCGGAGCCATGACATCTTTTACTGGTCTCCACAGGCTGGGTGAAATTAACCTAATGGTTATTCTGGTCCAAAGGCTAGAAGTTGTCCACTTCCGTGCATGACACTTAAAAAAATATTACATCTTCTGCTGCATCTCCTAAAAAAGAATGCTAGAAATAATAAATCCTCTTCAATTTTTTGACATTTCACCTATAGAAAAACCATGAACCATATTCCCTACTATACTGAGAGGCATTCCAAAACTGGCACCAATTTTAGTTTAAATAAATCAGTCTTGCAACTGTACTTTTAACTTGAAATTGGCAAAATCTCTTTTATTTCTTGCACATTGTAATGTGTGAATTATTTTACAACCTGATTTTTAAAAAAATATTTTACTGTTTATTTTTGAGAGAGAGACAGAAAACAAGTAGGGAAGGGGCAAAGAGGGAGACTCAGAATCCAAAGCAGGCTCCAGACTCCCAGTTGTCAGTACAGAGCCCAACGTGGGGCTCAAACTCACAAATCGTGAGATCATGACCTGAGCTGAAGTTGGCCTCTTAACTGACTGAGGCACTCAGGCACCCCATAACCTGAATTTTTAAAAGGTGCCACATGGGGTAACGAAAAAAGGATGTTAATGTACTGCCTTCCTAGAAAATATCTGAACATTTTCATACAATACTAAAAACTTACCTTCTTCCGTTTTTAGCATAAGAGTAAATACAAAAATTCTGTAGTTTACTTTATATATAAAACAATCATAATTGAGTCTTACCGTGTGTGGAGTAGCAAAGTTTTCAGTTCCTTTTGGTTTCTTTCCTTTGAAGAAAGAACGTAGAGAAACCATCTACATAACCCTCTAGTTATAAATCAAATCCAAGATATTGTTGGACAATGAGATGCTTTATTAAAGTTGATACATTTACTATATAAGAATTCTGTGAAAAGAACAGGGTATTAAATTACTTTGGATCTAGGTCTCTGCCTTATAAAGTCTGTCCCCAAAAGATGTCCTCTCACTATATCCGATGGCTGCAAGCATACAGGTGACTAAAAAGCAGCAATATTTTTCCCTTCTAAGTTTCAACTGACTTGCCTTGGGTATTACAAATCCTCCTCGCACAATAATAATAATAATAAAAAATCCCAATCCCTAGTCTACATAGTATCATCTCCGAGCAGGTGAGATGGATGAAGCACCGGGCCAGCCCTACATTTGTGCTTGGCCTGAGGTCCACACAGGATCAGCCTTGAGAAAGCCATCTTCCCCTCAACCAGACAACTCTACTTGAACTATTCCGAGACTCCTTGGAGGGGTGAAACTTCTGGAAAAAAGAAAGAGGGCAAGAGAGAGAGAGACGGTTTGAATATTGAAAGGAATATACAAATGATCAAATTCAGCTGCATCAGTACTGAGGGGAAGGATGAAGAAGTTGGAAAACAAGCAGCTTTGCAAAATGCTCTCTGGTATAACAAGAAGTGACCAGAGTGCCACTGTCCCTGACATATCATTGGTGAAGGCCACCCATTTTCTTACCAGGCATGGGCGTCTCTACAATGAGGTGCTTGTGGTTGGTAAACAGTTCAGTGGAGTCTTGCTCTATTGATCTTTCTTCTAAGTCTGATTCTGGGATGGTAGTACAGCCACCTACTTGGAAAAAATGGATACAGTATTTTAAGCAATGTGTAGGAAAATCTGCCTCTCCACACGGCAACCACAGCTTAAGAACATACCAATCATAAAGATAACAAATGATGTGAAAACAATCTTCAGGAGCAGACCAAAAAGAATAACCATAAATGTCTCTCTTTTTGGTGAAAATATCAGGAATGAATTATTGCCCCCAAGGACATATTATGCCGAGATCACTTAGCAACAGCAGCAATGGTGTTGCCTTTAAATTTATTCTTTTTAAAGTTAGAAAAGACAAAACCGACAGCACATGTGATATCCGTAATATAAAGGAGCCCCAGCAGGAATTCTCTTTAATACCAGAGCATCAGAAACTATAAAAAACAAAGCACATCGACCACGAGGGAATGAAACTTTTCGTGAGCAAAGAAGAAGGCTGCTGGTATTCTGAGATGGTGATTGTGGTGGTATTTCTCTGGAATTTGACTCTAACCCTGCATCCCAGCACCTCACAAGACAGACACAAACACTTCATAATTCAGCAGCAAAGCCTTAAGCTACCTTGTGGAAGCTTTCAATTCCAAGTCAATTCCACAGTGATCTGAGGATGAGCCAGCACCACTGCACTTCTGAAATACTGGGTATAAGTCATTTGATTTTATTCACCAAAATCTTGTGGGGGAAACTCATTTGAGAATTTCTTCTTGCCTATATCTGCAACTTGATTTGACTAATTTGCCATCATTTCCCAGAAATGTACTGACATGCTGTATACTATACATATTTTTTTCCCAAAGCTATTCATCTTGTTAATGAAGTGTGAATTTTCTTTTCCTTTTCTGAGGCTTCTCACACAGAGTCCAAAGCCTCTGTACTCAAGTTTGGCTTTATGTATGAGGGGGTTTATGAGGAAAAAGAGGGTATCACAGCACTGATTTGTAAACCACATTGTTCAAGTGAAAAGGAAGTGGCAAGATCCCAAGTCTGAAGATTACCATTTGTCCCTCTGTATCACCTCTGAAAAAGAAAATGATGCCCAGGAAACTTGAAAGAAAAGCATTTTCACATTCATAAAATAAGAATTAGAGGTAACCTCAGAGGTCCCCCAGGAGGAAATGTTGGAATTCTCCATCAATGCAATGAAACTTGCCCAGCTATATCTGAAAATGGCATGGGCCCCATCCAGAAGGAGAACCAGGCTTATTTTTAATCTCTTTCCAAAGCCTGTAGATCATGGTAACAATAACTATCATTATTCAGTACTTTCAAAGTGCTCAGTCCATATTATCTCATTTAGTTCCTAGAAACTATGAAATAGGTATTATTCTCATCTTACAGATAAGAAAACTGAAACCGCATGAGATGTAACTTGCCAACATCACACAGCTCCTAAAGAGTAAGGAGTAAGACCAAACTCCCACCGAAGTTGACAACTTCTAATGCTCATGTTATCTAACCACTGACTTTATGACTCTCAGTTGCAGCATTAGCCAGAGATATGTGGCTGCAGGTCTCAGGTGTGTCAGTGAGGCTTTATCCTACATGGCAATCCACTGAGTGTGGCTGCCAGGAATGCTGTTTAGAGTATTGTGAGGCCAGGGCAGGCTCCAAGGTGCTGGGGCCTTGAAAAAGACCAAGAAATAGCACCCTTCTTCTCCTCTTGGCCCCTCATCCAGTTGAGAAAAAAAAATAGGGTATGTATGGTGAGAGAGAAATACTTCTCTAAGACTAATGATAGGGAAAAACAGAAAGAAGGGATGTGCTCCCTGCAGAACAGAACCTGGTCTTAAGAAAAAAGAACCTAGAATGGATTGGTTTCTCATTGCACACTCAAAAATCAGGTGAAGGCATCTCTGGGGCAGTGGGAGGGAGGAAGTAGGCCGAGGCCAGGAATATTCTACTCATATAGCTATCTTCACACACAGGAAACTTCAGGCCTGGGAAAGAAGTGTACCCAGCCAACAAATGGGAAGAGTACAATGATCAGTTGGCGGTGTCTGCCATGTTTTTGGAGAGAGGTAAGTCCCTACTGATTAATTGGTGTCCACCTTTTTATTTTTTTTTTCTTTTATTTTATTCCAGCTAACTCAATATTGAGGCAAGACAGACAATAAAGACTTAAAAGCACTTCCTAGTTCTTTAATCCATGGACATAAAAGGACAAGTCAGTCATTACAGACTATGAACAACTTATGTAATTTCCTCTTTTCTCCTTGGCACAAAAATTTTTGCCTTGTCCTTAGTACAGAGAGATAACACATCTCCAAATCCCACTGCAGGGCTGACCAGTCACTTGCCCTGGGAATCCCACCCCACCCCCCCCTTTTGGGGGATGCCTCCATGCAGCCAGACTGACCAACCATATGCCCCGAGTTTCTGCCCTCCTAGCTTGGAAGAAACAATAAGGTATGGAGTCTGGCATTTTGACCCATGGGAAATGGGAGAAGGGGAAAAGTTGGGAAGAGAATTCCCCTCCTGCCTCTCCCGGGTGGATTCTGACTGATTATTTAACTTTTGTCAACCTCTAGGAAAGTACTGTGTGCAGGGCAGAGGTACCTGCTGGGTCTCTTCACTTTATATTACATCACATATTTCCCTGACTCCCTTGCTTTTTTCCTCATCCCTGAGTTTGACGAATAAACCATCATTTTAATACTTGCCTCGGGATCTGCTTTATTGCAAAAATCAATGATACTGGAAGTAGTTCTAAAAAGCTGGCCTTCAACATGGAATTTTGAGATTAAAATGCCCACCTATGTGTAAGAAATAGGGGTTCCATGGCTAGGAATAAACAGGAAGGGAATAACACTGTTATGTAATTATGTAAGTTTTTATCCACGGCTAACTGGAATGAAGTGCACGTAGAGGTCAAGAATGGCAGATCAAATAGCTGTGGAGTGGAAATATTTATAATTATAAGCATTCCAGAATAGGGTGGCTGCTTCTGATGACTAGATACCCTGGAAAAATACAAAATGCCAAGTATGGGGAACCTCATAGGCAATGAAAGGCACATCCAGAAACTCAGAAGTTTACTGTAGTCTTGAGAGTTTAAGTGAGATCACTGGACACACATCACTGGCTATCACCAGGAAGACTTTTCGAAATGCAGAATCTTAGGCCTGACCTCAGAGCCACTGAATTTGAATATGCTAAGAAGGACAGATGAATACATCTGATGGGATTTTTATTAGGAAAAAGAAAATATTTGTTAAAAACTTAAGAGTAAGCAGTAAAATGATAGAAATAAAGTATAAAACCTCCAGACTAACAGAGACCCTCTGAAGCCTATCCGTGGAAATGGAGCCTGGTTTCCACAGATATTAGATGAAGTATCCTTGGCTTAGAGCCTGTCCCATCAAAGGATAAGGGGAAGAAAAACCACAGCTGGATGAAATCATCCAAACACACATGGTGTGTGCAACACATAAGGGCCAACAGGCAAAAACAAGTGAGGGCCGGGGATCTCCTGATCTGGAAATCCTAGTACCATGGACCCAGTGTGTGCCGGCCACGTGGCTATGAATTTTCAATGCATTAGCTCATTCAATCCTCAGACAACCCTATCAGGAAGGGTTTACTGGCCCCATTTTGCAATTATAAAAATACCGTTATTAATTTGTAATTTTTCCTCTGCTTTCCCTCCTCTTTTTCCTCTTTCTGCAAAGTTTCCATAGCTTCCTTTTGTGCTTCCCTACCTCAGAAATTTGTACTGAGGCCAAATCAAAAGTAGGCTGAAGATACTTTCTTTTCTAGCCTTGGTCTTCCATGGCCTGAGCTCGCTGATGATATGAAAGTGCCTCTGGGGAAAGATTTTCTCTAGTAATTCAGAGGGTTAAAGAGACCCAGGTTGGACCACCCCAAGGAAGCAAGGCATCAAGGGATGGAGTCGTCGGCACAAGGAGGGTTAGGCATCAGGAGCCTCAACCTCACCAAGGATTCCCTTGTGCACCAGGCCTCTGCTGTGGGCTTAGACAATGAGAATGTTGACAGTACTGTGGCCCTGTTTTCTGAGTCCATATGGAGATAGGAGCCAAGGGAGATGGGGTGGGCAGTAATAACAGAGACTAAATTTCCCACCTTTCCTGCTAGGAAAGAAAATAAAATAAAAATTTTGACATTTTTTGCATCCCTGACCTAGCTTTCTTTGCAAGACTAAGTGTCAGGCCTGCGAGAAAGTCTCAATTAATTGAATGTAAACCTAGAGATTACATCATTTGTCAAAGGTCACACAGCAAGTCTACATGAGCTGTAGTCTAGCTCTTTCCATGGCAGCCATGCTTCTCAAAAGGACCAGTTTTTAAAATTTCCAATCTATCTAAACTAATACTTTTGTAAAACATGATAATAAAAGGAATTACTAGAAAAATGAAATGAACAATAAAGCAGCCCTCATCCATTAGTAATAGATTCAATCTATTTTTCAATTCAATCTACTTTGTAAAAGTACTCTGTCAGTTGCTTTAAGTTTTTCAACGCTTACTCTAGATTTTAGGTAACAAAAAAGTCTGCAGGAAGATGCCAGTCTTCTAGCCACAAGTTATGGTCTACCCTAATCAATGTGATATACAGAATTAGAGGAGAAATAATAATTCAGCAAACTCCTAACTATCTAAAATTCAGATAGCCAGCAAACTCATCTTGGCAACAGGGACTTCTCACAACTTACATATCTCTGTTTTCCTCAAATATGTGGCTGGCAGCTCCGTCAATGCAGTGTCCAGAGTGGCCGCTATTGCTGTGCCAGTGGAGGGTGTCCAAGTTCCCCAATTCCTGCTGCTGCCACAACTATGGAGCCTACTTCTATTTCTGTGCTCTTATATAAGAGGAGCTTCATTAAGAGAATCTGGGATCAGGAGTTGGAATTTTGGGTGCATTTTCATAAGAGAGCAGTGTGATAAGTGGCAGCTAACCTCTGCAGGTAAAATTTTAAAACATGAAGTATGTATTATGAATTATGAGCAATCAGCATAGAAGCATTTGAAATAAGATGGTTTATAAATTGGAGACTAAATATT